CCCCAAAACCCCAAAACCCCAAAACCCCAGGGTAGCCAATCAGAATTGAATACATACAAAACAACCGTCTCCAACCCCACTCTCTTCTACACTGACTTTTGATCCAAGATCTTAGTCAGAAGGGAGACTACCTTCTTGCGAATACTTGATTTTATAAAGGGAGTGTAGTCTTTGAGGTAGGTTCTGTAGAGCAGAGTCAGCATTTGGGAACTCAGAGAATGCGATAGGAAGGAGGTGTACCTGCTATTATTGAACTTCTCAACTGCAAGAAAGGGAGAAGTATTGGAGGTAACCAAGTGAGCAGTTATTTTAGAGCACGTGGTCTTGTGGGTCTGGTGCAGGAACCGGAAGAGGTGGAAGTCGGATAGGTCTTCAGGAGATGGGGTTAGGGCAAGTTCTGAAAAGAAGGTTCTTACTCATTTAGAGATTCCCTCGATTGTTTTGTATTCGGATAAATGGAACCTCTTTCGGAATAGTATTCTGTAGAATTCTCGTAAGTCTCTAAGTATCTTCTTCTTAAATGTATCTGCTCGAGGTTTTATATAAGGATCTGCTTCTTTTCTTAAGTTTTTGATTGACATATATTGATTCCATTGAGGAATCACTTCATTTTTAATTAGATTTCCAATACTTTCAGGTTCCTCCTGATATGAGCAGGGGGTTTCACTATGATCCGAAGTTTGGGCTATTATTAATAAGGATATATCTTACATTTTGGCTTTATCATGGAAGTCTGATGCTTATCAATGCTTGATTCTCCGTTGACCTTAATGGGAGTCAAAGATTAATTTTAACAATGCTTGAAACAATTAAAACAAGATTAAAAGAGAATTATAAGTCACGAATACGATCTAATTCAAATGAGAATCACTATTTAAGCAATCTCCAACATTGGTCTCAAGTTTAGGATACTTTCTAAAGGTGTGATTTTATAAGTATTTTGGCGTTGAAAATATTCGCAACAATTACACCCTAATTTGGTCTTAAGTTTTTGTACCACAAACTGAAGGAATCAAACTTAAAAAGATACGAATGGAGAGCTATAAACTCTACAAATACCTTACCTCACAAGAATGTTCTGTTTCTTTGTGCAACTCTCTTTTAGTCTGATCCAAGAATAGTTCGGGTTTCTCCAACTGAGTATGCTCACTTTTCGAGCAGATATTATTTAAAGGTGGAAGCAGCATCATCTTTAGTTCTTCTTTGAATTTAACTGGTAATGAATGTAAATCAGGAAGAGAATCTAATACAGACAAGTCTCAACATAATTTATCTGGAAGAGGAAGAATGATAGCTCTTTTGCTCACAAGTTCAGAAGATGCAAATAGTATTTCTGCTAACTCATTTTGTAATTGGGAGGAGGAACTATAGAAGATATAAAAATCCATGTTTCCTTTGAAATACCATCAAGCTTCCTCAATAAGCTATCCCTTCAAAAACTTACTTCATTTCTAAGCTAAGAGATTAGTAAAAGTATGTTAAATTCTTTGAATAATTTTCCTTATTATAGATTCCCAAGGACTTGGTTACACAATTCACATACTATCTATCCCTAAGCACACTCATCAAAATGAGCAAGTTTCTCCACACATCAAAGCGACCCTAGGCCTTCTTATAACAGAACCCTAAGCAATATCCCCCCAGGTTTGATAACAGCCACGGCTGAATTACGTCACTCTTTCATTTTCAAGTTGGAGTAGAACTTTAGGGGTTTTGGGGTTTTGGGGTTTTGGGGTTTTGGGGTTTTGGGG